CCAAAAAACACCTACTAAACTTGACCTTTGGTTTGCTGTCGAACATATTCTGTGTTCGCTACCTCCTTAAAGAGTTAACCAATTGCCTCTGTTCTGTGTGTCCCCACAGCTCACCAAGAAGAGGTGGAGCCTGTCCATAGCAGACCTGGTGCTCAACGACGCCGGGAACTACACGTGCATCGTCTCCAACGTGCATGGTTCGCTCAACTGGACGTACCAGCTGGAGATTGTCCGTGAGTATACAACAAACTACATGTACTGTAGAGCTACAGCTGGCCATTCCTTCTGTTTGTTTGTTTTTGTGGGGGGGTTTTGGTTTGAGTGAAGAGATCCACATCGGCACAATAATGGTCATTTAATGCTTTGGAAAAGTAAGACAGCCAGACAGAAAAAACAGAGGGAAAGTAAATACATGGAAGTAGGACTTACCAGTGGCACCCTCCATCCACCCGCCTCATTGGATCTGAATGTGTCCGCTTTTGTTCCAACAGGGAGCGTTACTTTCCTGCTGGTGGGATAACGCTCGGACGCCACTACCTTTTAGGGTATAGCGTTGACAAGTTTGTTCCAACACCTCTTTTCTCTCTCTTTTCTCTACCAACCGAGGGCCTGTGCCCTGAAAAATAGCCATAGAAACCCCACAGTGTGGACCCGTCTCCAAAATACTCTCTCTTTGTCTAGAACTTGTCTGGAGTTTTTTTCACAGACAAGGAGACATACAGGGGTTTTGGTGGTTCTTTCTCTCAACAAATATATACATCTTTTGCCTTCTTCCTGTGTCTACTTTGTTGTTATCAGCTAAGTGTCAATGTGCCCTCCCCAGTCTCATGGGTAGGATAGTACATTGTGAACCCAAAATATTCTTTTTTTAGAGCCTGAACGTAAATAACACAGCTAGATTAAGATCCTTAACCTCTTGGGAGAAACACCCCAAAAAGCTTCACCTTCGGAAGATATAAAATAGGTGTCTGTCTGTCTGTCTGTCTGTCTGTCTGTCTGTCTGTCTGTCTGTCTGTCTGTCTGTCTGTCTGTCTGTGAGTGTGCCTGTGTGTGTGTGTGTGTCTGTGTGTTTGTATATCTGTCTGTCTGTGAGTGTGCCTGTGTGTGTTTGTGTGTACGTGTGTGCGTACGTGCCCTTTGCGTATGTGTACGTGTATGTCCCTCAACAATAGGACGGCGAACAATGTTATTCAAGTCTGGGGCGGAAGTAAAGATTAAAGATTGTTGTCTTGCTTTTACTTGGGTGTTTTTGTTCTGGATGTGTCGCCCTGCCTACTGTGAATGATAAGAGGTTTTTCCTCCTTCGCCTCAGGACACGCTGAGTAAAGCGAAGGCGCTTGTGCGGGTGACTCAAGAGTGCTTCTGAATGTCCCCCTATCTTTCTCGAATTAGACTTTTAAGGCTGTCATCGTTTCCATGTACTTCTGTGTGTTTCGTATTGTTGTCCAAATAAAGCTATTCTAGTTAGAATGTACTTTAATTTCTTTCCCATTTTGTTGGATTTAAGTAGCATAGCCATCCTATTTTGATACAAGTACAAGTTTACTTCTTGGCCCTTATCTTGTCATGCAAAAGTATGACCTTGGTTGTTTAGGTGTTTGCTCTGTGTCATTTGTATCAACTAAGTTTGGTGTGTTAGTTCTGTAAAATAGAAATTGCGTGTGGTTGGCGGGTGTTCTGGTGTGGCTGATCCTTCTTTCCTATCAAACATCTATCGTCCTTATCACTCCTTTTCTTATTTGTTTGTAACTAACTAGTAGTGCTTTAATTTTCAGCACTTATATGACCTAATTGTGTTGCAAGTGACGTAAACTCGCTCTGCAACTAAAACATACCGTAATGTAGTACATGTGTTCTTCTGTCAGTACTGAGCAGTTGTTTTCTTTTTAAAAAAAGAATCGTAACAGGCTTTCTCAGTTTCTAATTATTATTTAACAGCCCCGATGTTATCGATTTCCTTTTTTCATTGGTTCAGCTGGTCAGATGGTAGTCAAGTCTGCGCTTTACAATGTGAGGCCGGTTTACAATGTGAGGCCGGTTTACAATGTGAGGCCGGTTTAGGCCATGTGGTTCTTGTGCCTACCATGCACTACAAGATATGCAATTCCATTTCAACCCAAATCTGTTTGTGTCTGATCGGACTTGTATGGATAGTGTGGTGGGAGAGATGTGAAAAGGGGCTTGTGTAGCGCATATGAAAATTCAGTAACAAACAACTAGATAAATCTAACTGTATATTCGGGGTCCTCTCTTTAATGACGTTCACTATAGAAAAAAATAAATAAAACAACAACAGAAGAAAAAATAATAAAATAACAGCACTCGTAAAAATATGACGACCTTCCCTTTAATAATATGCACGCTGTCGCACCCACGCACACCAACAAAGAACAACAAAACATACGTACCTACCCCCATTTTATTTTGATTATTTTTTAATTTAAAAAAAAATTTTTTTTTTACGAATCAACATTCATTCTGTCGGTGGAGTTGTTTGATTGACATCATTCAGTCTGATGGGGACTTTTTACATCAGCTGTAATCATTTGTATTGATAAGGCCGTGCTGTTTGACTGATAGGTGTCAGTAGGATTTATCGCTAGCATTTGTCGCGGAGACTTATTTCGTGCGCAGCATTCCACTCGGAGCACTGGTGGCGATGGATGCCACGACATTCCGCGGCTCTTCACCGAGCTCCTTTTTCTACAGCCCAGAGCTACCGGCGAAGTTCTCGCGGGCTGATAAGTAGACAGCTTTTCTACATCTGACTCGTACAGTTCTGGGCTTTGGCGCAGTCAGGAAGAGAACTTGTACACATTTATCTCCGAGGGAGAGAGAGTGTGGGGGGTGAGATGGAGCGAGAGACAGAAAGAGAGACAAAGAGAGAGAGAGAGAGA